AGGTCCATTCTGGACAAAACGATTAGATTACACAGAACAAAATACCAGTATTAATGGTTTATTAATATCTAAAGTGGAACTCCAGGCAATTATAATAAACCTTTAGTCACTATATGTAATCATTTAAAAATATTATATTATACTGCTAGTAAAATGCCTGAAATATATTTGTATTATCTTTCCACAATGCACCTTACAGCAGATGTATTTCTAATGTGTTTATAGGTATTAGAAGCAGAAAAAACGGGGGAAGAGCTTGCAGTGCTAGTAGCGCACAGGGCGGTCTTTACTGTGTTAATGGTCAATAAAGAGGCTGGTAAAACAGGAAACTGGACAGATTCATAACAGGCAGGTAAAACAGTTCATACTTAAATGTAAATTGTGTCTTTATCAGTCTGGCTGGAGTTCTGCTTTACTTTGCAAGGTGTAATCTTCATAGTCCTATAAGAGCATGGCTAAGTACAAAGGAACATATAATCAAAACCTAATTAAACTTATCACAGTGCATTTGAGTTTGCTTTAAAGGGAAATTCCCAATTTTGGAAAAACATTTTTCTTACAAATTTAAAATGTACATTTCTAAATGTTTTTGCATTGGAGCCAGTAAAGCACTGCAACCGTGATCTCCTGCAGAACCTCTCCAGTCCATGTCCGTACCTCAGTATGGAAATTTAGTAACATGGATAGGAGAAAGAATGAATGAACTACAAGCAATGTGATGTGACCACAGTTGTAGTCTATTGAGAACTAACATTTCTTCTTCTGCGGTCACTAATTGGACTAATAGTTTCTCCATACACGGATCCTGTCAAAGGATATATAAATGGTTGATGTAGCTGTGTGGGTGAGGCCATACCTTTTTATTAAAAAAAAAATCCACATGAGCCTGTAGATAGAACCCCACAGTTCAGGTAAGTTGGGGAAGGGGAGCAGGAGGGTGGAGGTGCAATCTGACCATGTTTCATGTAACATCCTGAATATGGGTTTAACATGAAACATGGTCAGAAAAATAAACATAAGCTGGTCATAAATTATGCAAATTTCGCACAGTGGGTGCTGCTGTCGGCACCTTTTCAGCCAGCATCCCTCGATCGGCTGATCAAAGGAGGCAGTCAGAAAATCTTCTAACAAACTGAGCCGACAGCCAACGAGCTGCCGCCTCTACTTGGGTATTCTGAGAACAAAGACACAATTTCAGTAGCCAGTGGGACACCATAATGTAACAGTTACACAGAAACCAGCGAAGCTCAAAAGGTGTAAACACTAACTGAGCAAATATAGAATGCTGTTTAAGCAGAACAAATAATAGAGCAAGTGCGCAATTGTAGGAAAAATATGTGTACAGGAAAAAAATGTGTTTTCATGGAGTTTACAAACTGTGATAAAGTGACTTGAAATGAGGAACAGTAGCAGAGGTAAAGTGCTAAAAAAAAAGCCTAATAAAATTCTAAAAATGTTTGACCAAAGTATACTTATACCACATATGGTAATGACCACAATTCAAAAACACAATAATACCCGTGCAAATCAAACCAGCCTACAATCGTTAAAACACCCCCCCAAAAAAATAATCTTAAAATGTTTTAGAACACAGCTTTCTGATGACGTGAAACTGTAGTACATAGTGTACATTTATATTTTTCAAGTAAACCTAATCAATACTAGTTTACTGATTTTATAACTTGCTCTATACATAATTTATTAGGCAACAGCATTGATGACTACAGGTTATAATGTTACAAATGCCCAGTCCTAGCTCAATTCCATTTATTTTGGTGTTCTTTTCATACAAGCTGTGTTCCTAAAGCAATCCTGCATTGAAAATAAAAATACTAACTCATCATTTGAGCAGAACATTACACATACAGGTGCTGTACATTAGCTCAGCATTTTTAAAAATGCCACTGGAACGTGAAATCCGAAGTATTCTATTAAAAAAATCCCAACTGCATTTAGCAATTCAGTGCTTGGCCCTGCTAATGCATGCCTCCCTGTAGGCTCATTGCTGTAAACAGAGGATTTACTGATCAATAGTGAGCTGTGGGAGGTGCCAGTTTCCTAGATGTAGTTGACATTTTTTAAAATTGCAGCCTGGGTTATGGGATTCCCAGAACGGTCAAGAGGCTTGCTGAGGAATGCGAAGGCATCTTGAGGTGTTAGCTATTACATCCAAGTGACTGGCAAGTAACATTATTTCTGTACTGGTACCTTGTAAGAATCCCTTAAAAAACACGGAATTGTGTGTTAATGTAACTCTTCAAGGACACTTGCTGTGTGGGGAAACTACTACTACTAGTCTGGCCTATTTCTTGATGAACAATGACAAGCACATTCAGAATCCTTTCCCTAGTGTAGAAATCCTATCCCTGGGTTCACCACCACTAGGCTAGTGTCTCCCCAACTGCAAATCCCTAGACATGACATCTTTTTGCTGAGCAAACTTATACAAAATAAGACCAATTTATTCCCTTAGGTGCATCTACTTGTATTTTAACTGAAATACTCACCCAAACCATTTTGTTCTGATTTGAGAGTTATGGGACAGGAATAAATCAATGTGTAAAACAGTACCTGGTATGTTAAACCCCCTGTGTTTAGATCTACCTCCATGAATTCCTCTACCAAACTAATCCACTTACTGACTATGGTGCTGCTGCCGCTTGTTGGGATGATAAACTGACTCAAGGTGTTGACTTCATTGAGAACAAATAGCTTAGTAAAGACTGAGATCACTGGAAAAACTACACAGTAATGAACAGTCTATTTACAGCAGTGATGCATGTTAACGACCACCAAAAAAAGTAAGCATTAACTGGATAGAAGTCTTCAAAGATACAGCCATTCGTTAGTTCCCTAACAAATGGCACACCTACTTGCCCTTTCTGATCTTAACAGCACAAAAAAAAGTCCAAAATCTTCTAGACAAAAAGTCTAGCCTGCCACCTAACATGTTAGGAATAATTTCAGAGATTTAGGGGTCCATTTATGAATCTTCTGCCCAGCCCTATGCTGAGAAAATGGCGCAGAGGAGAATGAGAAATTCCTATGCTCCTTGGCTCCATCTAGTGGCAGGAATGAAGTGCGAATGGTATTCTCCAAACATATGGCTTTGTGATAGATTTATAAATAGACTGCTTGAAGTAATGTATTATATATAAAACATCATCATATCTATAAAGATCTTACGCAAGGCCTCAAATTTGGTAACTGTCCCCCAAAATAATTTAAAACCATCTTACAGTCTGTGACTAAGAATTTACAGGTGTAAGTATATAAAGCAGTATTCAACTTTAAGGTGTAGTCCAAACTTTTTCAACTTTGACTTGTTTCTCTGTATATTTATTTAACTGCATGTAAAACTGTTACTTTATGCCCTGTACTGTTGTGTGATATAGATATTACTGTGACCATCTACATACGTTTTGGTCTTCCTTTTTTTAATAAAAGCACACATTCTTAGCTTTCAAAGCAACTATACACAAGTTTTTCAGACCTACCTTTTTAGTAGCATAACAAAATCATGAGGTCAAATACAAAATGTGTAATTAAACAAACTATTTTAATAACTGCACAAGTATCCTGTCCAAACAGCAATCACATAGATGCAAGTGTGCAAATATTGCAAGACATAGTTTGTTCTTAGACACTTCAAAAATGCTTCTCTGAAAAAATAATAAAAAAAGTACTTTCTACAGCAATATAAAACAAAAGTAAAAAGGAGCACAAAGTATTAACTAGAAGTATTTGCACTCTAAATAAAGAAATATTTGAAAGGCTTTTGCAAGAATGGATAATGCATGTGTCAACCTACTTTTAAAACTAATACTGATGAAAGGTTCATTTAACTTTTTGTCTGCATTTAGAACTTCACAAGCACCTTCTCTTATAAGAGAACTCATATGACCTAAACAATAAATCTGACTCATCTCTAGGCCTGGTGGGGTAATCTAGGAGCTCTGGCATTTACTAGAAGGGCTGGTGTGAGTTAGTATAGGTTAGTTGTCCTGTATGATTAAATGATTGTTGTCAATACACATGAAGCATCTGAACTTATTACAGGAGCTGTCACTGTTGTTTTATTTTTTAAGAAGCATGCCTTGGAACTTCTATCATTCTTCACTGCCTAGTAAGCCACTGACCAAAAACAAGCATGTGCATATGTGGTGAGACATGTTTAGGGTTAATAACTCACTATTTAGTGATTCGGTGACTTGCAATCTACTGAAGTATAGGAATACCAGCCCTGAATTTTGTACTTTGAAAAAGTCACCGGGGGAAGCCTCCAAACTCCTATAATAACTGGGACCATGCAAATACAACTGATCCACCGAGCTCGGCAAATTTTAACAGTTGATTTGTACAGACAAAGCTTCCTTTATAATTCTGGACTTTCTATTCCAGCCCCATACACCTCCATGCTGATGTGCTTAACCAACCATTCTAAAAGGTCCTATGTTGTGCACCACTGTTCTGTGTGTGTCATTCTGCTGGACGCAGGGGTACATGGTGCAAATTCTTTAGACTGATGGGTATTAAGACCTTTAGAACAGAAGCAGCAGCACAGAGCTGTGTCATAATTATACTACTAACATGCTTAACCCAAATCCACCTGAAATGTTGGTATAAGTTCTTTTGTAAGACAATGCCGGCAATACATTAAACTATCTATAACTTCTAATAATAATTGTAATTATTGTTCTCAAGCTCAAGTCCGCAAATATCAGACTGCTATGTACGTTAGCTTCCAAGAAGCAACAGTGAATCCCAAAATTGGAAGAACCAGTTTTTCATTTGTGTATATTAACATTCGTCATGGCAGCACATAACCCTGGCGCTGTTGTATAAACATGATGAATGGCCACTTAAAGACAGAAATGGATTTTCCAATAAAGTCCTCGAGCAGCAAAAGCAGTACTGAGATGAATATATAAAGAGATGTAAAGACATAAAACAGATGTTTTGATGCGTATGGTTTCACCCAGATAACTTAGGCGGCTGACAATGTCTCACATAAATATACAGGAGACGATCTTGAAGCTATACATGGGGAATTTGAAGATACTGGCTGCACAACAGCCACCATATTATCATTTTCTGTTACTCAAGAAAAGTTCTCTTAAAACAGAATTCCATTTACTCATGGTCCTCATTCCAAAACAGGTATTTACAGATATAGATCTACAGTGTTGTAAAACAAGTCCCAATTTTCTTTATGTATAAACAATTAAATTTGGTTTTTACACATCCCATCAATATTCTACATTTGTAATTAAAAAGCTGTAAAGATACAGATAAAATCTAAGAAGAAAATATTGACTAAAGTTCTTTTGTGCTGTAAAGATAACTTCTAGGAAAAATGTCTGGTCTTCTGAACTAGCAGTTGCCTCCAAGACCCGTCCAGTGGTCAGGTACCATCAGAAAATACTTATCCATTGCTTCACAGAATCGAGTCCGATACAGCTCTGGGGATACCACAGTTGGCATCTTACCTAGGTTTAAGAAAACAAGATAAATGGACATAAATAGCAAATAAAATATAAATTTTTTTATAGAATTTTTTCTTCCTTTGCAAAAATGGGATAAATAATTCTGTAGGTTATAGCAAATGAACCTACTGTTGAATTACAAACTTACCAAACCCTACTTCTAAGGTTCTGGAGAAGGGGCATTTACTAAAACACAATAGCCATGTGTAAGATGATAGTGGAAAATATTCTGCAAAAGTGGGAATGTAGTTTTTTAAAACTACCAATTCTTCCAAAAGGCATTGGTGATCAATGATCTGCAATATATGTTCTGCCTATGTTCTGGCATTAACCACTTCAATACCAGGTGTTTAGACCCCCTTCCTGGCCAGGCCATTTTTCAGTATTCAGCGCTGCGGTACTTACATTTTATTGGGTATCCGGGCATGACAAGGGGCAGAGTTTCATAACTGCTCTTTTACATTTAGGAGCATCCAGTTTTTTTTTATTGCAAGTACCATGTAGGTGAAGTAATACCTTTGGAAGGTAAAGTGGTACTGAGAATATATTTTAGATGTGCAAATGGATAGGTAAAGGTCATTTGGCCAAACAGTGACTACAGTCAAATCAGCTGCAGTCAGTGTTTGTGTATTCTAACATCGGTGGGTTCTAGCTGCCAGAATACAATAGCTGGCAGGAGAGATTCCATGATCACTAGCATGAATGGGGGAATTGAGCTTTTTTTTTTCTAGTTTAGCCCATGGGGCTGAACGAGAAAAAATAAAAGTGTTTGGCTAGCTTTATTTAGTGTTAAATATTATAGGCTTTCTCTACCCTGCTTGTTTCCCATTCTTGTAAATGTTTATGGTAATTAGATTACTTATGAAGAGGATACACTTTGGATTGATTGACTTACATCCTAAGCAATGTGCCTGTCTCTTATGGGCAGGTGTTATTATATGTGAACCAGTTTGCTAAGAAAGGGCATCTGTATCCTGTAACACTGTGCTAAAAATGGTAACTGGTGCAGCAATAAATTGGATGTTTAGGGTTGATGGAACTGCAACAGAGAATTAACTCCAGTGTTGTTCTCTCAGAATATCTCTGATTTAAAAAGTAATATCCTTTCTGACTCTATGACATCCGCACAACTGCAATATTTCCTGAATGGCATACATCGGTCAAATGTGGATTTCAAGTTGTTATAGAATTCCACTGATCATCTAGCAACTAGGTGACAGCAAATGATCATTACACAGGACTTCCAGTCATATCCTGAAATTACTTTTATCATTCTTAGCCAAGTCTGTAAATTTTGGGATCTATGTGAGGACACTTGATTATTTTAGCAGTAACATCTCCAATAGATGTATGCATTGTCAGTATAAGGGCTGCCATGACATAATGCTACTCTTAATATAAAAGCTTTCATCCAACATACCAGAGAGCAACATACAGAGGAGCACATCGCTTGTCAAGTTTGAAAATAAAGCTCGAGTTTAGAAGCAAAATGTTATTACTAGTTAAGCAGTTAAAGAAATTATGGCTTTTCAAAGTATGTTTGGTTTACTATAAACATTTATAATTACCCAAAGTAAACCAAATATATTCAATTTATGTTGGATAGGTTGTATTCTTTGAGATAGTACCATAAAATGCAAGGTGGGAGAACCTTACCACATACATGGGATCTACATCTAAATCTCTGGTCATTAAAATGACTAAAGTAACAGTGCTTATAAATAGCTATCAGCATAAACTGTCTGCACATAACCTGCTTTTCGTGCTCCGCCAGTGTTGCCCTGAGCTTCCCTAAGCTTTCTCCAGTCCCATGCAATGAAGAATCAGCACTCACTGCACCCCCAACCCACGATACAATCCCCAGTGACCTATCAAAAGACAGAAGCAGTGTCACATGGGGAGAGTGCATATGCTTAGGCAAAAAGCCAGAAAAAGAAGATTTTGCACTGACAGCTTGTGCCGTTAGCTAGCACTATTACTACAGATATTTAAAGATGGCTTGTGGAATCTATGCCCAGAAAAGGCAAGCCCAAAGCAAAGGTCCAGTTATCAGTGTTGATGTGTAGGATTTCTCTCACTTTTCTTTTATACATTACTGACTTGAGCTGATGATGAACCGGCTGCAATTCGCATTCTGGGTGCCGCTGTTGACACCCTTCCGCCTGGCATCCCTCGATCAGCTGATAGAAGGAGCTCGTTGGAAAATTCTTGGCTGAACGGAGCTAGCAGCCAATTAGTTGCTTCCTCAGTCAGGGTAGTCTAACAGCGGACACGAATCATGCTGTAATGCACTGGATCACATAAACCAAGCCTCCTGCGTTACGGGGCGCGATCCAGTGCGTTCCAGGCAGGAAGTGTGCTGGAAATGCACTGGATATGGTGTGAATCCACCCTAAAAGAAGATAAACCCATAGTGCCCTGTGAATCCTTTGTAATTCATTACATTTTTTTTCAACAAATACTGTATAAATAAAATACAAAAGACAAATCATTAGTCTAAAACCTTATAAACTTAAAAATAAAACAAAATTGGCCAATAACAATGACCGGTAATAAGCTCTTTGATAACTGTATTGCACAACTGTAATTCTAATAGAGACACTGTGGATGATATAATGATTGATATAAATAAATCTGACCACTGTTGTCTATAATACTGTTGAGTACCTATAATACTCTAGAGTATAGCTTCATTCATTTATATATTTTCAAAATAGGTTTTATTCATTTCTGGACTTTGGTCTGTAGGAAAAGTTCTCAGCCATTCTTTAAACCGCATATAGAAAGTTGCAGGTATCAATGTTAAAAATTTTATTTTAATTATACGAATTAGGCATTCTTTTCCTGACCTGACATTCAACACTATTACACAAAAAAACATTTAAAGATTTCAAGAGGTTTTATAAAACCACACATTACTATGCAAGCACACAGCAGGTCTCCCCATTATGTGTGTCTAATGTTCACAGCGAGTTTTGTTATACAGAGCGCTGCTTTACTGATAGCTAATCAACTGTCAACTAATGCTTGGCAGAGCTACCTACTCACTAAAAGCAGATTCATTCATCACATCCCTTCTCCTGAGCAGCAAATAGATAATTCCAGCTACTTAAAAGCAAACACATGAAGGTAGTGCATACAAATTAAGGCCACTAAACTACAATCATGTGAAAACATTCACACATACACTTTGCCGGTTCTTTTACATTACTCATTAATATTTCACTTACAGTTTACTGCTTTTATCTTAGTTACCATCTGCCACTGGGAAATTATGCAGAGGCTCTGAATGTAATGTAGTAAGAAAACACTGCCAAGTCATAATAGAAGGCAAAGTATTATTATATAACCGATGTTAATTGCTACAGCAAAAATCTAGATAAATGGTCAACTAACCTTGACCACCCAAGATGCCAGTAGATTTGACAACCATCTCAAGTTTCTTGTCCCATGTGAATGTTCTGATGTAATCTGTCAGAGGGCAAAAAGATTTGGCGTTAATAATACAAAACATTAAAGAAAAAATTCCCAGTTAGACTAACCAGTAACTGTATTTCTATGAATCTTCCAAGACAGCTACGGAAGATATGATTGGTTCCCCTACTTGAGGAAACACACACACTATCTATAGCCAAAACATTTCTTTTAGTTTTGGGTAAAGTGGTGAAGGTTTAGAACCTCTAAAGGGTTTTTTTGGCAGTTTGTGTCCCAGAAGGAAGATTTCTTCTCACTTATTACCCTGAAGACATAAGAGGAAGAGTGACATTTTTTTAAAGTGACTTCACCTGCTGTTCCGGTAACATTTTCCCAATCCTTTCTGCTGCCAATGAAAACCTGGGCAAGGAAAGGAACTCAAATAGCAGTTAAAATCTGCCAAAGGTTTTACATTTTCCATATTCTATAAAAAAATGGCTATAAATAGATTTCAATGTGGCTCATACTTCATAAGCAAATAACTTATTTATAAAGGACAGGAATCCAACGTTCCAGAAATGAGACATTTCTTACGAGATTGAAACTTATCTGAATATACTGTTCATATACCATTTCATTCAGTTTTTTCAAATTTCACTCTAATAGCAATACTTATAATAAACAAACAGTCTGAATGGTGTTGACCTTTTAATGCCAAATACTGAACGTTTAATAATCTAATATGATCTGCTACACATTACTGAGATTACAATTAGAAAAACAATGAAAACAATTTAAATAATCTTTCCGCTCTTGTAATAATGTTAAAATAAACAGATTAAGGCCAAATTGGTATTCTGAATGTAAAACTGTAATAACTTTAAAAAAACATAAAGGTAACCAGTTTAAAGGCAAAAGATTATTCTGAAGAAACAGCACAGCATGTGCTAGAAAGGTTTTCACAGGCCAAAGCATTTTATCCAAAGCAAAAAAAAAACAAACAGTTGTGAAAACCAGTACATCAAGCAAACCTCGATATGCAGTTGAACATCACCTGCATCCAGGTTTCCCAGGCAGAAGTCCTAGTTAGTAAAAGTAAAAAAGACACGTGGTAATCTGCTACCTTCAGGGGAGAGCAGAAGTTTCTTGAAAAAAGTGTTGCAGGAGGAGAAGCTGAAACATTGATAAAGTGGAGTACACTTACTGGTGCTTGCTTTGGATAAAATGTGTTGCTTCACTATTCATGCAAAAAAATGTAACGTTCGTAAAAACAGATGGAGTAAATGGTCACCCTACCAGCTCTTTGCTGAATACCGAGTACTATAGAGGGCATCTCTCCTACTGTTACATTAAATAAGGGCACATTTCAATTCACTTTAAATGAGCAAGGAAGGTGACTGCAGAACTCTTGCTCCTCCTGTCCTGGGGGCAGTATAGTATATAGTATAGTGTAGTGTATGAATGCAGACACAGAATACTGAAAACCTTGCCATTTGCGTCTCCATAAAAGCCAGCAAAACAGTTTTGAACAGAGTAGGCTGTAAAATAGAAAAGGAGTGTCTCTTTCCACTACTTAACTTTACAAAAAAACATTTTTACTTCTGTCTGTGTTGCTGTTGGAGATTTTTCTGTCTGGTGAAAAGGTAATCCCGGGATAGGAAGTAAAGGGAAATTTCTGTAATTGAGCCCCTAACAAGTAAAAACACAACAGAATTTCTAATCCTTACCCATGGTACCCAAAACTAAAAAAAAAGTGTTGGCTGTAGATACGTATACCTAAACCTTTTATCCAAAAGCTGAAATTTAATGATTAAGTTCAGCAAGCAATTTTAGAAAAAGGCATGGTATCAAGAGAATAGGGGCATTTTCCAATACCACAGATTTTAAGAAGACTGAACTTGCAAATTAATTGCAAAGAAGTTAGATTCTCAAGCTCATCAATAAAGCTGAACACCAGAAATTGGCAGTGGATTATAAAAAGGTAGATGATGCATCCCAAATGAGAGATAAGCTTAGGTTATGTTCCGAGAACTCACAGTCTTGCCATATAGCTGTATTGGACGAGAGTCATCTGGGATTCCAGTCAGGTAGATTGTGTTTGTTCTTATTATTATTGTGAAGTGGAACACTTAAAGCCATACAAGTTTTTCATTAGGGCATTAACGTAAACACTATTAAAATATGAATTATTAAGATGCACACTGCAGTGATTGACAATATATTAAATTGCATACATATTTATAATGCCTGTCCTGTGTTAAAGAGAAATACATAAATAAAACGCAAAACTTAGCCGTATAACGTTAAAGGCCTTTATTCTACACTGAATTTAATCCAGTATATTATTCTCTACTTATGCATGATCTACTGCATAGCAATGTAATACAATGTTCCTAATAAATCCCTGGATGCATCCTGCTTACTGGGAACAATTCACGATGGTAATGGCGGTATATAAAGCAGAATTTTTTTTTGCCACCCAGATGTTCTCTTGATACCAAATGAGTACCCTTTGAATGCCACTATGTACATGAGCATGTGCACCTATTATGGGTGCTTGATAAGTAAATATGAACAAAGACAAAAACTTAGGACCCATTCACAGCATAGCTAGCGTGCCCTTCCATGCACTATGTGCAATGCCATTCATATAAATGGCACCCCAATGCACCTCCCAGCAGCCATGCATTGCAGCACATGGTACTACAAGACCGTCCATGCGAAAAAAATATAACTATGTGAGCTAGATTTTTCATCGCAATGCAAGGTTTTACAGTACAGTACCTTGTGCTGTGCTTCAACACACATCACAAGTGGGTGCACAGGGTGCCATTCAAATGAAAGGCAATCTAGCACACTGTACCACACACTAGGTGCACTGTGCAATTGCCTGCGCTAAACGCACATTTACCACAATGCTATGGTGTGAATGGACCCCAAGTATAAAAACAAATTTTCTAATTTAGGAATAGTATTGAATAGACTGTTTAAAATTCACTTTCTTATAGGATATTGTGATCTACACTAATGAATGAATGTTCAAAATTTTAAAAAAGACAAATGAGACGTAACCAAAAAGTGAAGGAAACATCCACAAAACAGCATTGATTTACTTACCAATGATTCCAACTACAAGTTCGTCAGTGGTGTCATCCCGTCCCACTAAGAGAGAGTAGTCAATGATCAGGTGGCTGGATAGGAAGTGGGAGTCACTGTGTATAGAAGCTCGGAGAACAGTTTTGCAATGTGACCGGATGTACAGGGGGTTGTCACGCACCAGTTTTAAAAGATTTTCATCCAGCAACACAACATCACAGCTCTCCTTTCCCGTGTCTGTCTTTACATTCCGGTTCCTCAATGAACCTTTTAGATCAAAAACCTAATAAAACCAAGGCATAACATGATTTGTTTTAGTGCCTATCAAATATCTATTATATGATGTACAGAAGTATTTAGCCTCATATTTTGTTACCTGTGCCATTTTTCTGCCATAAAACAGGTTTTCCATGACTAGCAGATCCAACTTCTTCTCTGTGTTGTTCTGGGAATTCTTGTAACCAATCCTGTACACTCCTAGAATCTTAGCCAGTGCTGTTGGTCTCTATAAACCAGAGGGAAATAAATATAATGAGCTGGCACTGAAAATGAGCAGGACTAATTGGAAAAGAATAAAGTTAATCAGAACTACAGCAAATAGAGAACTGTAGGACACATGACTGGGGAAACAAAGATGGGAAAACGTCATGAGAAAGTAAACATCTGGCTGAGCTATGGACATATATTAAGTATTTACATATTGTGAACAATAAATCAGCTATAAAGCAAGCCCTCACTGACCTCGGTAGCTGTAGGCACTCTGGGGCAATTCACCCTTAAATGTCACATAAAAGCATTGAAATTGTCTATGTTGGTTCCCTTAACACTCTGCTTATGATCTATGTTTAGGAAGTTTCAAAGCTCATATTCTACTTGTTAAGAATATGTAATTAGTAGTGGTGCACCTATACCAAGTATTTTGGCGAGTACTAGTACTCGCCCAAATGCTCCGATACCTTCCCCGATACTGGAACTTTCAGTCAGAGGAATATTTCCTCTGACAGGCAGTGCTGTAGGGGAACATGGAGCCGGCTTCCAAGGCAATCAGGAAGCCGGGCAGCGAGTAATGACCCCGGCTTCCTGACTGGCTGGGAAGCCGACCCCATGCTGATTGGCTGGGAAGCATGTCATTACCCGCTGCCCGGCTTCCTGATTGCCCGGGAAGCCGGCTCCATGCCAGAGGAAGCACCGGTATTGGTACACGGTATTGGCGAGTACTGAAAGCAAAATATCGGTACTCGATACCAAAAAATTAGTATCGGTGCATCCCTAGTAATTACCCCAACCCTTTAACATGAAGTACCAAAAGGCAAAAGATTTCGACAAACGACCCTGTGGCTTTGTAGGCAAAATCTCGCAGGATCAGACACAGGTTAGTACAAGACTGCCAGGGGGGGTTGGGGCCAGGATATATTACAATATACTATAAGTGTATCTGCACCAAAGTAACACATGTTGATATGACTTACATTCAACATTCTTTAGTTTTTTGAAAGCATCAATACTTTTTATGAAGGTAGTAACCCCATGTGTATGTATATAAATATACAGTGGCACCTCATTCACAAACTTAATTTGTTCCGCGATTCTGGTCACAAACCGAATTTGTTGCAAACTGAATCAAACTGCGATCAGACCGCAATCTCGACTAGTGGAAGCCGCAACAATGTGTCAGAGCAGGGAAGATGGCTGCGGTCGTGTTCATCACCCGAAGCGCAGTTCGTGAACAGAAGCAAGATTTTACCGAACCTCCTGTTCGCGCACAGAAGCGTTTGTGAATATATATATATATA